ACAATGGACTTACGGATATATGGCATTAAAAGTCATTCAATTTATAAATCTTTTCATGAGTATATTAAGATGGTCGCACCTAAATTTCTTTTCAACTTCCTGATAAAAAAAAAAGCGAATTACATTTTACAGGGTAATTGGTAATATTGTCTACATTTAAAGTTCACTTTAGGTCACCAGCTATTGAGTCATACCAGTATACATGTATATGTCATGTTTTAGTATAGGGAGTAAGATAAATCCTCCCTTTATCATGTATCAGTAAATCATTTATGAGGATTTTGCATGTAAAATATAAACTTAAACAATCGTACAATCGATGTTTTTTTCAAAGTTGTGAAAATTGAAGTATTAAGATTTTTATGTGACGTTTTGATAAGAGCTAAATTCCATTCCAACAATCATGACAATTCAGCTTTAAACATGTTATAAAAAAACATAAAATAACTGAATCATACTTGTATGTCTTACCTTGTAAGCTTACGAGTTTATATTTGATAAAAACACAAAAATTAGACCAAAATCTTTACTTAAAGGCAATTAGTCCTTAAGGAGTCATTCAGATGTTTTGGTCATATTGTCATGTTTTAAACTCTTGTATTCCTGAATGTGCAATATGGCTACATTTATGTATTTAGTGGTGTTGGCTCCAGTAGGGTATTCCTCTTTGCTCATATGTAGAAATTGCCTCAGGTTACAATTAAGCAAACTATACAGTTCTAAACTGATCTGATTATTGGTCTTGAAAAGATCACATGTTACCCGTCAATCCCCCTCGCCCCAATTGGCAATAAATATGACAAGTTGAAATTAGACTTATTTCCACAAATACATGTAACTATAGCTATAGCTATAGCTTTTATTTATAAAATGATGATATATGTGCTCAGATGATACAACCTTTTACAATCTTAGTGAGAATTAAGTATCTTGGTACATGTATAAGGGGAGACAACCAAGAAAACCTGTTTTATCTGGAGGAGAATAGAAAATTAGTAGCAACTACAGAAGAGAGACAGATGATCCCAAAGGGATATTCAAACTCATAAGTCTATAACAAACTGACAATGCCATGGCAAAAAAACGAAAAACGATGAAAAGACAATCCAGTCTTCAAATTGAAACATAGAAAATTTAAGACTGAGCAACACGAACGGTACCGCGACTAAAACTGGGGTGATTTCAATCAGGTGCTCAGGATGAATACGCAGCTCTTTCTGTAGCAGGTAAATGAACCCTTTTCAAAAGTACCAGTAAAATTTCTTTGAGATTCATACAATTTTGATTACCTGAAATGTGCATGTATCATAGAATTGACAATGGAAACAGGAACATGTCAAAGAAACAACAACCTGGCCAAAGTGCAGAAAACAGCACAAGGCCACAAATGGGTCTTCAATGTAGCAAGAAAATCGCGCTCCCGGAAGGCAAGCTTCAGTAGGCCCCTAAACAAAAATGTATACTACATACTTTGGTACAAATGTATGTCAAAAAGTGCATTCCATTGCAGCTTTGGTTGTCAGAATGTGTGTGTTTTAAATTGTAAATCAGACAACCACAAAAGTTGAACACAGAGTTTTAAAAAAGGCCTTTATGAGATCCTCAGATTATGTTGTAGTGATACACACAGTGTTTTACCCACAGTTCACTGATCATGACAATGTTAATCAAGAAACAAAATCATTTTCTGACACAGGATTTTAACACAAATATGAATTATTCAAATGGATGAAATTCACCCCATCAATTGGAAAGCTTGGCCGACCCATGACACATTTAAAAAAAATAATAGAGGCAGGTACTGCATTGGTTGACTTCACAAGCAACAAACCCTGCAGTAAATATAAATAAGATGTGGTATATGTATAAGTGCCAATGAGACAACTATCCATCCAAGTAACAAAGTGTAAAAAGTAAAAAATTATAGGTCAAAGTACGGCCTTCAACACGGAGCCTTGGCTCACACCGAACAGCAAGCTACATGTATAAAGGGCCACAAAATGACTAGTGTAAAACCATTCAAACAGGAAAACTAACGGTCTAATCTATATAAAAGACGAGAAACACTTATGAGCCCCACCAACAAACAACAACCACTAGGATGAAATTTGAAAAAAGACAGGACAGAAGTTTTGAGTAAAAAAGGCAGGACCAGCAACTTGGCAAAAAAAAGGCAGGATGACAAATCATGTATAAAAAGTCAGGATAAACTAATAAAAAATGGCAGGACCAAGATTACAACTAAAAAAAAATGAAGGACACAATTTTTCATCCTAGCCCCCCATAAAAATCAAATGGTACCTCCCTTAGGAGGTGTACACTGGTCAATACTCATCAAGTGGTAAAAACTGGCAAGCACTGTTAGATTAAAATTTTCATGGTTCTTTTAACAGATTTTACAATTCATTCTTACATTGTCTTATAAACCATTGATAAATTAAGAAATTCTTAAAGATTTATTTCGTTTAGCATGATTAAGTTAAAAAAAATGAATGATATCGTGGGTTTTATTTACCATGTAAACTATTAACAAGAATAATTACTACATGCACTACAATGTACTAAATTTAAATTTATAGTTTAACATGTATAAATCAAGATATTTTTTCTTTGATAATGTTTGATATCTACAGGTAAAAACAGAATTACAGGTAACTAGATTATTTGGGCATTACCCATGGCTAACAGTTCAGTTCACTTTGTGTATTTTCCTCCATAAATAGTGGAGCACCACCCTAGGGTATAGTGTTAACAGGTGTTAAAGGTTAATAGCTACATGTATAACAACATCACACTAACAAATGTTGACATAACATAAACAGCAAAAAAATAATACAAATTGTTTTTAAACAGTTAAAGGCTATTTAAAACAATAAATTATTTCCTGACTTTTCAACAGTATGATAATTCTTCTAAATGTAGCAAACTAAAAGTTTTAAGGATCTTATGACTTCTAATTTTAAAAACAAGCTTTTCAGATATTTTGAAAATAATAACTTCGTCAAATTAACTTGGAATTCGTTAAACTCATTGTAACAAACAAGCCAATTTATTTGTAATCATTGTTCTAGTACATGTATATTGATAATGATTGTAGAATAACATGAATAACTAATCTAAGAGTTAAAATATAGAAAAATATTTAACGAGTGACAAACATACATCAGGATAGTTGGCAGGTCTGACTTGTTTGTAAAGGGATTGGGGAGGGGAGTCAAACAGATACATGTGTAACCAAGACAGGATTTGATCCTGGTACCCCTGGCACAGTATGTCATGGTTTGGTAACTGAGCTACAGAAGTATTCCACTAGCATAGCTAATGGAGGGCAGTTATAAATCTACATCTGCAAGCTGCTGGTAGCCTGGTAAGGGTAAGCACTGCTACACTTCCCTCATCTCAAGTCATTTTTTATTTGGTGCCAATTTTGTAACATGAGAGCATGATTTGCCTTCCAAAAGTCATTACTGTAACCAGCTGGGTTTGGATCCGGAACCCCTTGCACAGTAAGCCACTGCTCTTCAAACAGAGGAAAAGGCAATTAAAAATCTACTGCATATTAATTTGTAAGGGGAAGCACCACTTACACATGTGTAACAACTCGGGAATCTTAAATTGGAATCCTTGACAACTGGCCCCATTGCAATGCAAAATTGTCCTTGACCAACTTCTCCCACTTGTAAAAAAAGGTTTATCTCCCACTGAATTTAGGCCTCACTCATGAATAAAGAGTTAATTCCCGATGATTTAAGGCCTTTTAAAGTAGTTTTATCACAATGAATAAAGATCTACCAACTCGCCTCACTTATGAAAATGTACATTGTAGTTGAATCCCAATGATTTTAGGTCTACATGTACCTACTCACCTAAGTATTGAAAATGAGTTTAATCCAGATGAATAAAGGTCTACCAACCAGCCCCACTTAAGAAAAGGAGTCTAAACCCTATAAATAAAGGCCTCATATCCCACTAAATTTAGACCTCCGATCTCACCCCAATAATAAAAAGAAGATTATCGTGTTTTTTTTCAAATATTAACATGCCAACTCACCCTACTGATGAAGACCTTAGAAAGGTAACTTGTAGTTTTTACTTCTTTTCTTTTGGTTGGAACAAAGCTGAGAAGTATATATTTGTAAGTATGACACCTGCTCGGTGGTCTCGTGTACGCTTAAAGTGCAGGAGGTCGTGGCATCGAACCACAGCCGGGTCAAACCAAAGACTTTAAAAACTGGTATTTGTTACTTCTCCGCTAAGCACGCAGCATTAAGGACTAAGAGCAAAGACTGGTCAGCTCAGAGTTAGAATAATGTGTCCAGGTAAGGTGGCATGTGTTTCTGAGGACTGTTACCTTGTGAACTAGCACGTTGAAAATCAGACTCAGCGTGTTGGTTTAGAACAAAGCAGGGCTATTATTCATATTACATTAACATGTTCTAGTCCTGAATATGCATATTAATTTGCCATTGGACTTTAAGCAGCCATCTATCATCCATTGTCATTGTAACTGTGAACATAAATACAGTTGAGCATCAGTGGGAATGAACTTCAGTCTTCTCGATAGTGGCCGGGGCGAGTTGGTTAACAAGAGTGGGTCGAGTTGGTTGAAAGTAGGGTGAGTCGAGGGAAAGTGGTGCAAGTTGGTTGAAAGTATGGTGAGTCCAGGGAAAGTGGTGAAAGTTGGTTATGAGGGATTTGGCAGTGGGGCAAGTTGTCGTGCTTCCTTTATATTGTCTATACATTGTACATACAAATGTATACTAATCAAATCAAATGCAGTCAAACATGTCAAATGTACATGGAGGCCCAAAGGCTAAATAAACATTAAAAAAAAATAATATTTGTTAAATAATATATAATATTTTGAACTACTAACATCGATTTGAAATCTTTCACTCGTACAACTTCCTCATTTTATCAAGTTACATAATTTTCTACACAAATTTAAATGACTCGCCAAAATTATATCTCGACAGTCGTGACATCGTATGTTTGTTTACCTGTGTGATATACGCAAACCAAGCTCTGGAATAGGATGTAAATCCATGTGCTTTTCATTTTCAATATCCCTGAGTGAATTAATAAGTTCTGACGTTGAAAGACACTATATGAATCTCAAATTTGCTATATTATGGAAATTCAATTCATTTTCAATTTGTTGATCAAGTCCCGGAAATGAGACATTATTTACTAACTGCGCAGACGCAAATTCCGTGATTAGGAAGTTTCCTTGTTCTAAAAATAGAAATGTAAACTAAGTTTGTCATGCGATAAGAAGGCGTGGCTCCACTATGCATAAAACGAAATCTCTGTCGATCTGCAAATTAAATATAACAGTACGTGGACAAAAGTCCATTTATATTTTACTTAAACTTCAGAAAATTTGATTTTCATAATTACAAAACATTGATGCTACCATTGAAAGAACTACCCCGGAAAAAGAGTCATGTGACATTAAAGATATTATTGTGACGTATTCATTTGATATTAGAAAATGATCATTAATATAAAAAAAATCAACCTGAATCAAGGATTTGTATAGTGAGCACTATACAAATCCTTGCCTGAATATTTAACATTAAATATTAAGTTTTTGATATTAAAAAATTAGACCATTCACTAACTGCATTTACACAAAATATAAAAAAAATCTATCTCAAGAAATATTTAGTGATGATCCACCTCTGGATCCACCTAACAAAAAATGTTTTATTAATATCAAAAAATATTTTTTTAATATTAATAAAACCAGAGTCATATTATATTATATTTCTCTGATAAATCGAATTTATAATATCAAAAATTAAAATAAATTTGTAATATTAAAAAATAAAACCTATATTCATAAATATTAAAAAATGACTATTTTTTAATATCAAAAAATAATTTTTAGTATTGATAATTGATTTTTTAATATTGATAAATAAGGAATAAATTCAGCAACGGCTTGCCATCTATAGACGTCAAATTAACCGGGATATTCATTATTGGATTTCTACCCCACATTCGTTAATTTTGCATGTTGGCAGTTTGCTCTCAGTTAAGCCATCTTTTTATTCATTAGAATTTTTTGTCAGTTCCCATCAAAATATATATAGACTGTTATTATATTGTTGTAATAAAGTTATTAACCTTCCTCTTTTTCCTTTGGTCGTTTTTTGAGAAACGACAAGACTCTCTTAAATTTGTTCTTCTGACCTTTTCAATCTTGATATATTTTTTTAGTTTTGATTCAAACGCATCAAAAGTTTTAAAATTTTCACCAAAACAAATTGGTAATGAGAATAACTTCGTCGTCCATTGTTCAAATATAATGACAGTAATGAGGGTAAGTGTGTAAGCGTACTTTTTTCCGATGAGTAAATTTACTGTTAAAGTGTGCAGTTACTACATGTATAGAAGTGAACACATACTTTCTCATATCCTCAGCTCATATCGAACCATTGAACTCAGCTATATTCTTCGCCTTTGACACTACTAAACTTTTATTAGAATATAGCAAAGTGCTCTCGACGCTCGTATACTTCATCCGGCTGCACGAAGAAAGTGATCAGTTATCATTCTCTTATACATATATATACGAATAATAATACTTATCAAGCATTTCGGAGAATTCAGCAACAAAACTAAAGTCGGTTAATTGTTTAATAAATTTAACGTTACAATAACGCGACGTAACTGTAGACACAATTACATGTTTGGTTCTGAACCCAACCTAGCATTCCGGCAATTAGTGTCCAACGTAACAATAACTTTTTTGTTATTGTTACATTTCAATGTGCTCGTAGCCAGTGCTTTTTCCCATTATTCTCTATTCTTTCTCCAAACATAAGCATGAAAATGCGTGAGTGAGACTTCATTGACAGCATTGCAATACATAGCTGAGAGGGCGATAGAGCAGATTGGAATCCCTCGAAAAATCATTGTCAACTTTGACTTTGCCTCGGTTGATGTCCAATGTTTTACTCGGGGTAAAAATCTGCTCTATCGACACTCTCAGCTACGAGTTAGCTATATATATAGTAAGGGAGCTACCATTTGATTTTTATGGGGGGGGGGGGGGGGGGGGGGGGGGGCTAGGATGACAAATTTTGTCCTGCTTTTTTTTTTATTTGTAATCTCTGTCCTACCTTTTTATTTTTTACTCTATTCGGTCCTGCCTTTTTTTTTTTAGTTTATCCTGACTTTTTTTTTTTTTACATAAATTGTCATCCTGCCTTTTTTTTCTTCAAATAATCTCATCCTGCCTTTTTTTTTTACCCAAAACTCCTGTCCTGCCTATTTTTTTCAAATTTCATCTAGCCCCATCCCCCCTCCCCACCCCCCCCACCCCCCCCCCCCCCACCCCCATAAAAATCAAATGGTAGCTCCCTTAGTTATATATATAGTAATCTCTAGATAAAACACCTATCACCGGAAAAAAAAAAGATTCACCACCGTCTTTCAGAAAGTTTCCGATAAGAATTAATGGAGCGGAAATTAATGGTAAAATTTACACCAAAACGTAACAAAAGCACTAAAGAAACGTACAGTGACAGGGGATAATTATTTCACGGCGAACGGATGGAGGATAATTTGCATTTTCAAAAAATATAAATTAATCGTCCGTTGATAAGCAAGATACCTTTGACTCAGTCCGTCGATAATTTGTTAACATTTTTTACCTCCGGTTTAAAGTGATTGATTCATCCAATATCAGAAGAGAATATATAAGAACAGCAGTGAATACTAAGAGTGGCGGATCATGTAAGAATAAGGATGTTCTATAGGGATACACTTCACATCGATATACATTCAACAAGTATATGTATATACTTTTTAAAAAAGTATCAGGATACTTTTAACAACCATCATGACATCAACGTCAATCATCGGTATACTTTTTACAAGTATCCTGATAAGTATAAGTAAGGTATCTTTAACCCAGTCAGTGGACAATTTGAAAATCCATCAAACTTTTGTAAATTTGATATACCAACTTCCAAGCATTCGTATACTTTACACAATTTCTTCCTATTCCATATCTTTTCAATTTCTATCAATTTTATTTCAATCAGGCAAGGGAACTTCCAGTTACAACCTGGAAAGCATTTTCCCATAATTCTATTTTTAGTATCGGACAATTACCTTGCTCTATGATTTATTGACCACAAAATCGATACGATTTTTCTCGTTCATTCCTTCAAATTAAGGGAAACTCGAGTTACCCAATCGAAAACATTTGTTTTTCAGAAACAGACGGACAGAAGGACAAACAGACAGAGGGATGATTCTTTTGGGGAGTATAAAGCTATGAGGCACAAAGTTGGTCAAAATTATTGTATTTAAAGAGCTCCGGAAATATTTTTGGACCTTCATAATTCGATTACAAGATATCTTTAAATTTTTCAGGACCTCCTTAATTTGATTTCAGGACATCCTTAATATTTATTAATTCATAATTATATATTTCAGGGCCTTCCCAATTCAATTTCAGGTTATCCTTAAATATTTATGGAATAAAATTGAGAATGGAAATGGGGAATGTGCCAAATAGACAACAACCCGACCACAGAGCAGACAAACAGCCGAAGGCCACCATTGGGTCTTCAATGCAGCGAGAAACTCCCGCACCCGGAGGCGTCCTTTTGATAAATATTCCTAAAGTAATGAACATAGAGAAGTTCTCGCTCGGACACACACTCCATAAACCAGTATATTATAAGAGCATAAACCTGAAGCACGGGGAGGCACTCTACTGTCTCCACACGGCACTAAAGACAAACTCTGTAAAAAATAAAATTGAGAATGGAAATGGGGAATGTGTAATTGATAAATATTCCTAAAGCAATGAACATAGAGAAGTTCTCGCTCGGACACACACTCCATAAACCAGTATATTATAAGTGCATAAACCTGAAGCACGGGGAGGTCCACGGGGAAGTCCACAATTATTTCAGTATCTCCGCAATGCGATTTAAGGATACCCTTATCATGATATCTCTTCTTCTAAGTAATGGAATTTCAAGTTACCAATAGAAAAAAAACATTGGTCTGAATATAACTAGCTTGAAAAGACTAAATGAGAGCCTTCACATTAATCTCAATAAAATTGCCTGATAAGTTATATATATAGCACGCCTTTTACGAATTAACGTATTTAAATTCACGAAAAGCGTAGCTTTGAGTGGATTAAATATGTTTATGAGTAAGGCGTGGCTATATATGATTTGTAAAATAATGGGCGATGATAGTGTCAAAAGTTACTGTATGTACTTTTCTTGAATTAACCATGCCTTGAAAACAAATAGTGGAGTTTTTTATGACAACTCGTCTCTTATTTTCAAAAAATGAACTCATGGATCATATTTTTTCCGTTCCACACCCCCCCCTTTTCTCCCGTGAACATTTTTTGAGGGGACAGATGCAAATTCTTGTTCGATGTATGCCATGCTGTCTGCTTTCTAAACCAATAGGACGTGTAGTTTTAGAAGAGTTAAAGTTGTGAAGGAAACGTTTTTAAAACTTATTGTGAAAGTTACTGCCTTTCCAAACACTATGAACTTGATCGATTAATTAATTGATGGGCTGTTGATTGGAGGTCCTGAATCGGATATTTTAAGCATGCTCCGTTCACGGAGATATACTTTTGAAAAATGGAGGAAATGAAACGCCTGAAAATCCTGTGACAAATATTTGGATTATCTATTTTGACACGACAAAAACAAGTATCCACCAATTTATCACTATCGCCTCTTTTTTATAGACCACTTTTTTCCTTTTGTTTGTAGCTCTCCTCGGGCTTCAAGCTTATGGAACCATTTTTAATTTAGGGTTAGGTTTACAAGTTTGGCTAGTGTTAGGGTAATATTTAGGTCAGTATTTTACTTACTCGAAGATCAAAGGAAAAATTACGGTACCATTATGTTACAAAGATTGAATGAGAAACTTGACAGCTAAATGAGCGATTACTAGGTCACTTTAAGGGGAAAAAAAGACCTTTTTTTATTTTCAAAGACAAACTCAGGAGTATCAGACTATCAGCACTTGGTGTCATTCCAAATGAACTGTACATAAGCTGCTGCTAAATTTTATGAAAAGCTACAATTTATCTAGTCACTGTGACGTGCTAGCGGAAACGTCGGTTGATAAGCGGGATCATCGAACTATAAACAAACATAGATAGCATAAGGAGGATTAGAATTTGTTTCAACTGG